TCAGGGCCAGATTGCTGTGCTCGATCTGAGAGAGATCTGTTTTCAGATCCTGGCTCTGATCTGGCTTTGCTTCTGAAATGCCACCTCTAATGTTGGATAAAATCCGACTGAGAGGATTGACAGACTCATCTCCAAACACACGGATATTATTAGGCCTCTCGTATGCTGCTTTTCTTTTTCTTTTCTTTTTTTTTTTTTGCATTTCTGAGTTATATTTTTTTGCTAAAGTTGTCACAACACATTAAAAATAAAACAAAATAAAAACCATTTCGGACATCCTGCAGAACGCTGGACTTGTTAAAACAAACTGCTGTGCCCAGGCTGCAACCACTACAGCCGGATCCTCTCCCCATGCCAGCACCATAGGACTGAGGAGGACACTTTGTGCTGAGGATACCAGCACTGACCTCGAGCCTTTGGGGAGCAGTGAGGCTCTCCTGCATGAACAGACAGCAACGTCTGAGCTCTGCTGGGTTTGCAGTGCGCTGAGACACGGCGGTGGGCAGACCGAGCCTATAGGATTTGGATGCTGCAGTGCTGCCTGTGAATTACTTTGAATTACTGAGAGCACTCATCAGCTCACCTAATCCCGGATTAGAGGCAGCTACCGAAGCAACACTTGATACTTCTCAGCATTTTCTTTTTCATTTTGCTATTAAACTACAGAATTACACTGATCTTTGTAAACTGAAACCAACAATGCAGAGAATTTTTTTCTTTCTTTCTTTCTTTCTTTCTTTTTTTTTTTTTTTCCCACGTAAAACCCAGAAAAAACTCCCAAACCACCAGCACTGCAGCAGCACTGGATGCACACAGATGCTGGCAGCTCCATGCTTTGGGTCGCCACAGCACCGTGTGCATCCTGCCTCCCCAGCAAAGCCATGGGGACATGGATCTCCCTCACAGCCCAGCTCCTGCCATCACAGGCACACACACGGGATGTTCAGGTCAGAAAACTCTCAGGGCACGCAGCACAATACAGAACCCATTCCAACAGTTGGGACCCGGATGGGATGCGGCAACCCAAAGTTTGGCTTGCTCAGGTGTGAGCTGGCCTGGCATAAGGTCCACCCGCTGCTTTGTATTGCTACAAATGATGAATCCAGCTGCTGTGTTTCATGCAACACGCTCAGAGTGGCTGGCATCTCATTTTTCCCCGCACTCAGACGCATTCTGCACCGATCCCTTCTCCTTTCCCAGCTCTCCCCCAGGAGCTCCGTAACAATATCCGTTCAATCTAAAGAAAAAAAGGGTCAGCAAAGTGTTTCACCAAGAGAAGGCAGCTTCCACCCCAGTTCTACGCAATGTCTCAGAGCAAATCCAACCCTCGGCCATATCAAGGCCAGGCTGAACAGAATTTCTCACTGTTGTGAGGTCACTTGTACAGCAACTGAGCTGTTTTAGGACGCAGTAAATCTACTTTCCCACTATGAATTCCTCACCAGGTTGCCAAGACTGATCAGAAATCAGGAATGCCAAAGCTCACACTTTGCTGCTTCAGCAATGATTTCCCACCGTGTTCACTGTGCCACTTCATTTAGTCCAAAGCACTGAAAGAACTCAAATACGTCCGGATAATGGCAGCTGAAAAATCCTTGCGATCAGCAATTCCCACTTTTACCCCAACATTAAAAAATATACAGATATTAAAAACCAGAAGAACTGGAAAATAAAACTTCGAGTTTAGAGCAATTCTGTGTTACATCCATTAAAACCCTGAGTGTACAAACAGAAAACAAGGTCTTACTTTCCCCCCACACACAAAATACGCAAAATAATCATTTAAATGAAGCGGCACACTGAGATACTTGCAAATTTGAGTTTCTTTCTGAGCCCCCACAGAGCTCATACAATAATAATACGCAACTAATAATATACAACTAATAATATACAACTAATAATATACAACTAATAATCTGCCAACTTTGCTCAAACAAACCGCAGTTTTGAAGCAAGCCCTCTTGAAAAGGACAGCGTGATTCTTTTTAAATCCAGCATCTCAACTCGTGTGGATGGTTTACGAAGGATGTTCTGAACCAACACTGCTCACCACTAACAGATGATGCCCCGAATCGCCTGGGACAGCGGCAGCTCCCCTCACCCCCCATGGACACCCTTCTATTTCTCAATGGAGTTGAGTTATGTTTTCAGATATGGCATTTTTCCAGTTGGATTTTCCAACACCACGCACCGACTGAGCCGTTGGGTTCTTTATCACAAATGTGGCAGCTGGATTTGGAACCTCACACTGAGCCGCGACTTAAAAATATGGGGAACAAAGCAGAATGGGTGCAGAGCCTCCTGAGAAATGTTTTAAGCACTTCAAGCCAAAAAAATGATTAAAAAAAAAAAAAAAAGAAGATTATTTAAAAAGTGATTCCTATGGAACTCGGAGTTGGAGTTTCTCAGCCTCCAGAATTCAGGACAAGAAGCCAAGCATGGCGTGTATGGAGTCTGCAGCCATTACCTGTCCTGGTTTATTATGTGGCACAGCGCGAAAAGCCAGTAAGTAATTAAATATCATAAAAGAGAATAAATAATGTTTTCACTGTCCGATTCTAAATCAAAGAGATGTTAACCAACACCTGAAAATACTTTCTCTTAGAATACCTTATTACTTATTTGACAGCCCTGGTGGCTGTGAATCTGGCCGTGTATTTCGTAAGATTTGGTGTAAGTACAGCTTTTCTATTTCTGTGGCCCAGAAAATACCACAATTACACCAAATTCAAGCTAAGTGCTGATCCCTTATAGGGGAAATCACATTTTTCTTTCCAAACACCGGGTCTGCTGGGGGCTCACTCCGAGCTCCTTGCAATGGGAACCTTCCCAATGGGAGCAGTGAGCCTTCCATCAACCCTGAATCTCCTTCCAACTAAAATTTACACACACGTAAATATCTCAACTGCCATCACAGCCAAAACTGAAAACATTTTCCATCTGCTCAGCAATTTTGTTCAGCTCTCTTCCCCTAACAGGAGATGTCATTAAACGCGCGTGCTGAACATCTTATATCTTTCAGCTTCAAGGAAATTATAAAGCATATCAGACGGCTCCAACTTCACCCAGGATGAAAGAGCAATTCACTCTTCAGCTCAAGAAAGCGCCGCAAAACTTCACTGAAATTATTTCAGACCGCAGTGAAAATCTGTGCTCATTGCTTTCCTGCTTATCTCAACAGACAAAGGAAGCATGAGCAGAAGTCCAGTGCCATCGTGCTGTGTTTCTTCAGGCTTTGGTCCCTTTGCAGTTTAGTTTTTCAAGCAGATTTGTGTTGGGTATTTATCAGATATAGTTATTTCTGTGCTCTGCTCCATTTCTAAGACAGTATCAGAAATCCCATTAGCTAGTACTTGCTGTTCAGTAGCACCTATCCTCCTTGGGAGGCTCACCGTTTGGAAGCACGGACTTTTGCAGCCGTTCCTTACACGGTTTTAATCCCACCACCAAATTTCTGCCCTGCAATTCCCAAACCCTGCAGCTCCACGAGGCCGAGCTGCTGAGGTGCTGACATCACTGCTATGGGGCAGCCCGGATCTGGGGCCGAAAACACAATTTGAGGGCAAATTCATTAACAGTCCCAGGCACAAAGCGAAGCACGGCTTTAACTGCAGAGCTCAGTACCCACAGCTGAATCATCTGAGAATTATTAATGACTATTTAATGAATAAATATTACTCTCTGGTATTTGCTATACCAACCACAGAAACACATAATCATAAAGTTTATTCTCCCCCCTGCTCCCCCGGGGGGGTGCTTTAGCACAGCTGCTGGGAGCACCCACCCATTGGAAACCCCAGTGATCTCTTTGGGTGAAGGGCACATTCACAATGCTGACTTGGTCAGGCATGATTCTGGGTGAATACTCATATCGTGTTCCTTCTGGGTGCTAAGGGCTGCTTTCTTCTCTAAGGCTTTCCATACAGCAGAGGTGGAAGGAGGAGACAGGGATCTCCTCCCTGCAGATCTGTGCAGCCGTGCCATAGACCACAGCGCAGGCAGAACTGGGCTTATCCCCCATCTGAACCCTCTGTGCCTATTTTGGCCAAGCACAGGACTTTGCTGTCCATGCAGCAGCAAGGGATCAGCGCTCAAAAACTCCCTCGTTAACAACATCCTGATTAACAACCAGGTCTCCTCGCAGGGCAGCCCGGCGCACTCGGTTTGGGGAGGCAATGCGTGCCATTGCAACTCAATAGGAAGAAATAAATTTGGAACGAAGATGACACTATTCATGTAACTTCTGACCTTCCAATCAATTGGGGATCTTCAGTTAATTACATTTGCAAAATAAATATTGAGGTTGGAGAAAGACCAAGGGATTACTCCGCTGATCAAACTCTCTGTAACCCAACAGCAAGTTTTCTATTGGCACATTAGTGTGGCTTCGCTGGGACCTGGAGAGATCCCTCTTATTTATATTCAACCGAGCACTGAAGGAGGAAGGAAATAAAAGAGCCAAAGTAGGACTTGAATTTTTAAACACGACATCACACAAATGCAAAATGCATTTTCTCAGCACAAGGAAAAACAAAATTTTGGCCCTGATACCTTACCAAAAATCAAGCTTTTAAAGAATGTTCTTGAATAGTTACGGATTTTTTAGTCATGTATTGCTAAGTCCCAGCTTCACCATCTGCTCCATTGGGTGCCACAAGAGCGGCACTATGGGAAGAATATAACTGCAGAAATTACCTGCTTTGCCAGAAAATGGGTTCTTTTTGTTTAAAATTGGAACGCACGACAGGGATGACAGTTTTACTGTGCACGTGGATCTTTCAAAGCTCACTTTGGAGCGATCCATTTGTGAAACACCTGCGGTCGAGACCCCATCCTGCTCACTGCGATGTACTAAAATCAGCACGGTGAGGTCGGGACGGTCCCTCCGCATCCCCCCCTCACTTGGAGCCGCTCTCCGGATGGGATCAGCCCTGGGGGGCACACTTTGGTCCCAGCGAGGCTCAGCGATCCCCGCCCCAACCCTCCCCAGCCCTCCTTACCCGCGCAGGAGTGCAGCGGCTTGGGCCGGACCAGGAGGGACGGACAGACGGAATAGAGGGAAAGTTTCTCGAAGTAATCGCACGTCTCCTTGGAGAGGATTTCGTCGATCATGAAAGTCTTGTAGCGCCTCCTGCCTGCCTTGGCGAGCCGGGGCTGCGGCGGGCAGTGCATGGCCGGCCCCGGGGCCGCGGGGCTGCGCGGGGCTGCCAGGGCGGCGGGCGGCCGCTCATGGATGGGGCGCGGAGCCGCCCGAGCTCCTCCTGCGGGCGCTGCCCCCGCGCTCGGTCCGCGCTCCGCAGCGCTGGGCTATGCTGGGCTATGCTGGGCTATGCTGGGCTATGCTGGGCTATGCTGGGCTCGGCTCGGCTCGGCTCGGCGGCGCTCCCTCGGCTCGCAGCGCCGCTGCCCCGCTATATAACCGTGCCGATAAGCATCTCCCCGCGGCCTTTTTAGGACGCTCCGGCTGTCAATCAGGGCGCCCGCTGCTCCCCGCCGAGCACCATTGTTACCCTGCGCCCGGCTGGGAGGATCCCGGCGCTCCTCTCCCCTCCCTGCTCTCTATTTTAAGATACCGGGGTGTGTGCTTTTCTTTCTTTTTCTTTTTTTTTTTTTTTGGTGCAAAAACTGGAAAGCTTCCAGATTAGGGCTGGCTTTTCTTTCTCTTCCCCCCCCCCACCCCCTCCCTCTTTTCCAAGCTTGCAATTAGTTCGAAGAAATTAAAAACGCAGGCAGCTTGGGGAAAGCTCAACCCCGGGGCCCCGGCCCGAACCGGCCCGGCCCGCAGCCCCTCGGTGCCGCTTTGCCCGAGCCCTGCGCCCCCAACTCAGCCCCCCCAGCTCAGCTGCCCCCGGGGCGCACGGTGCTGTGAGCTCCAACCCGTTGCGATGGGTTCTTCTATAAGCGGCCGTTCGGTGCGCTCCGTCCCGGCGCAGTTCAGCGGCCCCGGAGCTGATTTACGGGCAGATCTCCGCGGGATGAGCGCTGCCGCTGTCAGAAACCCCGTTTGTTTCTATGGAAGGAGAAAATCGCGTCCCACTCACGGGTAATTCCGGCAACTTTTCGTTTTTCTATATTAAATAAAAAAAACCAACCCTCACACATCTATCAGCCGCCTCTCGTATCCTCTTTGTAAGCAGTGTTTCTTCAGCAAAATCACCGCTTGGCTTTCGGCTTTACAGATCTATCTGCAGCTTTGGAGAGCCCTGAAAGCAGCACTGTGCACACACGGCCAAACTCCACACTCCTCACTTCTCTTTTGGACTTTTGTCTCAAAAGCTCATTGCGTGGTTTTAAAAAGCTCAGCATAACGAGTTATCACAAAGATAAAACAAAGCGTTAAGCCATTGGAAAGGCTAAGATAAATTGTTTGGATATATATTTTTTTCTATTGATTTTGAGAAACGGAGGTACTCTCACAAGAGGAATTTCAGTAGAATAAAAACAACCACCGTGGAGCTTGGAGACGTTTCCCCCGATGATAAACCCATCCCCAATTACTGCAACTCTTGCTTTAATTCCTAAGCAAACTACAAATATTTAAGGAGATTTGCGGAGCTCGTTAGGAGCGCAGCTTTACACACACACACTTCACACTCCAAACAGGCTTCGGGAACACTTTCTTTCTTTTTTACACAGTTCTTTTTCTAAGGAAACAAAGTAATTCCCGTTGGCATTGACCTCAGCAATCAGCACTTGTTGGTCGTATCGCACACAGCGCTTTCAAAGCGTCGCCCGGCGCGAGCAGCCGAATTCAATCCCCCACCATCACAAAGCAGCAGCAAATGGCATTTTTGCTCCTGTTTCCCCCATGTCTGCCTTTTCTCCCCACTCCGCATTTGCAGAAGCTGACGAGACCCAACAGATGAAAGTTTCCTAATGCTGAATTGCAATACAAGCGCTGGAAGAGAAGGGCTCCTCAATGATCCCAATCAGCTCCAGTGCAGAAACCAAATGGGGAAGAAGCCGCCGTCTCACCCACATCCCTTCCCACAGCCACCACACAGGAGCTCTGCCCTCCCTTTCAAGTCCATTTTGCTCACATCTGAAGGGCTGAACATGCAGAGATGTGGGGTTGGCACCTCAACCAAACGCTGATGCCCTACAAGAAGGTTGGGCAGGTGGGATTAGCACATCCCTGTGTCTTTCCTTCTTCTTACTTATTGACTTGAGATTTCTTTTTCTTTTCTTTTTCTTTTTTTCTTTTTTTTTTTTTTTAAGTGGCCAGAGCAATACCATGGATTATATCATATGAAACACACGCTGGCTGTCAATCAAAAAGGGGGTGCTTTGGTCAGGAATAATCAGGGGTTTTGTTTCCAACATTAATGAAGTGGCTGGAATAGCAAACATCTGCCGAGGGGACTCAAACCCCGAGCAGCTGTTGGAGCCCCCAGACCTCTTCCCACATAGGACAGCTCTGCTGCTGAGCTCTTCTCCCTGAGGTCTCTGTAGGGCTGAGAAATGGGGCCATGCAGGAGGGTGGGAAGGGAAAGGCATGTCAGGAGGGTTCGGAGGGCAGGCGCTGTGACGTGGGTTGCGCACATGAGCCCAGCAAATGGCTGCATGAGAGCCAGGCCCAGAATTCCTGTGTGTGTCCTTTCCAAGAGGGAAAGGGGTTAATCCCAGGGAAACGACCCTGCAGGTCACTGAGTGAAACTGCTTTGTGTGTGTGTGTGTGCCAAGCCAGAACCAGAACACAGGAAGAAGATGGCACTGCTCTGAGCTGATCGGCTGGCATTGGGTCATCCATGCAGAGAGCTCTGTCCTGTACCATAACACTGTGCAATAGCGCCCAGCTGATCAGAAAGCACAGCAGTAGATCTGCTGAAAGCAGGGTTTCTGCTGACATTTGCTTTAACCCCAGCCCTGGTGCTGCCAGACACTGTCAGCACTTGAACCCACAGGTGCTGAGGCACCTTACAGTGGTCTCAGATCCATTTTTTTTTCTTCTAAATTCACCCTACCTAACGGGCAAAGGTTGTTTTCTCAAGTCCCCCACATTGCCACATATAATTGCTTTTTCCAGTGAAATCCAGTGGGATCTCAGCATTCATCCAACACAAGAGGCTTTCTGATATCTGCCCAATGCAAGAGAAAATGGCATTGCCCAGAAAGCTCTAAAACCAGGAAGGTGTAAAATCCTCCTACATGCACATAGAATTGGGTAAACCCAAGGAGCCCCTTAGTGCTCTGCTCCTCTGAGAGAAACACTGCTCAAGGACAGACAGACACCCAGGCAGGGCATCCCTCCCCCAGCCCTGGAAGGCCTCTGTAATGGCAGGAACACACAGGATAGAAGAGAAACTGCAGTGTTTGTTGGCTCTGAACTCTGCCTTGGCCCCTCTGCAGATGGCAAGGTGAAACTGCTGGGCACCAAAGTGTGCGATGTCATAGAAATTGCAAAGCAGAGAGCTAATTGCATATGCTCACTCACAGCATTGGCTTTGGGGAGGTTGTTGCTTCCAGCTTATCTCTGCAAGCAAATTTCACTCCTGGCCCAAGAGATTGCAGAGCAGGATTGCTGCAGGTCCAGCTGTTTCATTGCTTTTTACTTTTCCCAGCTCAGAGCAGGTCTTGAATCCTCACAATGATTTCTCTGTCACCTTTAGATCTGTCTGCAGCCTCTGTGAGTGTCAGCAGACCTCAGTCAGAGCTGGGCTGGTTCTCCTCCTATTCCCCTTGCAATGCTGCAACATTAACACAGCTCAAAGCAGCCCCTACGTGACAGAGCTGAGCTCCCAGCAGCACTTCAAAGTAGTCCTTAAGCAGTCAGAATAAGCTGGGGCTTTGGAAATTTCCTTCAATAAATTTACATTGATAAGTGAACCATCAGCAGGGACTCCTGCATTTCACAGCTTGTTCTTCTGCCAGCCCTAAACCGAACCTCCTTTGCTTAGAACCACCTTTTATCTCTCACCACATGGATTGTGCTGGTCCTTAGAAGGGAGATACGGGCATGGTTTCAGACCTATATGCAGAGAAACTGAGATGAAGGGTTTACCTGAGCACTCAGAACAGAGCCAGACCTTCTCACCACACTTCTCTCCAGGTTAGCAGCAGTCTAAATCCTGGTGTTTTCCTCATTTTTTCCCCACAATAGCACTGAAGGCTGAGAAGGCATATTGCTAATTTCCCAACTGGGATAGGCACTACCTCCTCCTTTCCTAAGCCCCATTGCTACCAAAATCAAACCCAGTTCTGCCTCTGGTGCTGGTGGAGCTGTTCCCATGTGCTCCCAAGGGCGTTGCCTTACCCTACTCAGGGAACCAAGGAACATAGCAAGCTGGATTGAAGGATTCATTGTGAATCTGAAGCAGAACTGGCAGAAACGAAGACATTTAAAGAGACACTTATGGGGTGGCTGTGATTTCTGGGTGTTGTATTGATACCACGTCCACCTGAGTTGATGCCAAGGAACATATGGCATCTTTCATCAAGCAGGGATTTGTTTTTTCATGCTGTAGCTAAAAGGCTACAATCCGGACGTGTAAATTTGGGCTAAGGAGTTTGGGAGCGGCAACCAGGAATGCAAAGGAGCATTCTGTGTCATCCTGAGCAGCAGAACACCGACGGGGCAGAGGGAGGAGATCACAGCAGTCATGGATAGAGCCTCTATGGGGCAAGACTACAACAGTTCCTGCAGCTATCCTCAAGGCAATTTAGGATCGGGTTTGGGTAAAGCAGATGTGCTCGGTACCTCCCAGTATTCACCACAAATATCTGTTTGGATAATGCCCTCAGTAATGGGCTTTAGGTTCTGGTTAGCCATGAAGAGGTCAGGCAGACCAGAAGTCTTTCTTTGGAGGTCCCTTCCAAAGGAAATATCCTGTTCTCAATAGCAGTTTCCTCACGCATCCTTTTGTCCAGGGAACTCCACACTGCACATCCATCTCTTCATCCCACCTGCATTGCTGCCCTCTCCAGGATCACAGTGAACACAAAGACACTTCTTAATTCGGCCAAGGTAACAAAAATCTTCGTAAAACCACAATCACTTTCCTGGAAGGATTAGAGCCAACAGTAAGGGGCAGCATCTGATCTCATGAGAGCATCAGTGCTTGGGATTGGAACATTTTTTAAAGTCTCCCCCAGTTTTTGGCATGGTAAGCTTCCCAGATTTAACACAGCTTCGCTCTGATCCATGCTCCAACCTAATTTGGGTGAGGATGCAC